GGCTTATATTTTGTTTCTCATATTTCCTAGTTCCGCTACGTGCATCTGCATTCGTGCAAGATGGCTCTAATTGGGTGAGCCTAATATCGTCTTGGATCTCGCTCTCCCCACTTCTTCCACTCTCTCTAAGTTATTCTATAATTTTGAATATGTTTCACTGTCTAGGTTTGATTGTAGGTATTGTGTTGGTTTTATTGGGATATGGATATCTTGGGTTCATATTGATATACATCATTATGGATGTATATATATCCTGATAAGGTTAGGTATCCAGAAGATAGAGACCAAGTTACTTGGTCATCAAGTTATCATACCATAATTATCTCTTCTAATTGTGTGATTGTCCTCTATATATAGACGTACTTCTTGATGTAAATATTCATCCAAATAGTGAAGATAGCTGGTTGGGCTTTGGATCCGTAAACGTAAATGTTGTGTTCTCTTCTTCTATCTCCATGTATACTCTCACGAATTCTAACATGGTATCAGAGTACAATTCCCTTCGAGGACCCATCTATTTAATCTCGTTGGTAGTGCTATTGTCTTCTTTGCACAGAGCCAATTATCCATCTCCAATGAAGAAATTGGCACAACTTTGTGAATACAATGAATAAGAGCTAGAGAGAGAAACAATCTCCAAGAGGCACTTCTCCATTATTTGAACCCCCTCAAGCCTTACCCCCACCGTTAAAAAGGAGGTCTAATGAAGCAAGCCTCTTCGTGCCACGGAAATACGGCAAGGCCTCTTCGTGCTAAGGAAATACTGCAAAGCCTTTCCAGCATTATCTGTAAGATGTCGATATACATAATGTATAGAGGGCCCATTGTCCCCGTCATAGACTCCCTAAAAGTAGGAAATTTTGAATCTTTCAATGAATCACCACGATTCTCCTTCTGCAAAGAAGACGACAATGAAAAAACTCGTTTGACCCAATCCAAGCACTGTGTGAGGAACAATATCGGCATACACCTCCATTACGATGTGACCAGAAGATCCTTCCATACAACATAATCAGATCAATCAGAACTCACCAACCAAGCAACCGAAGAAGAAGGCCAATGTCGACAACCCTGCAATCACCTGGCTCGAGCACGACACTCCCCACTCGAAAACCGTCGAGGCCGACACACCCCTGTACTAGGCTCACATATCTGTTCCTATCTCACACACATAAACAACTCCGCCACGCCCACTTGGGCTCGTGCAGTGCCTAGTGGGCTCGGCATCAGCCCACTTTTGATTTGCTCCGGTCCACCCACGGAGAGAAGAAGAAATCTCACCAAGATAGCTCAAGTGATGAAGAGAGGTTGAAGAAGAGATAAAGAAGGAAAAAGCCATGTCATTCATCAAAGGAGTCTTTATCGTCTCTCTCTGGAAGTGATGGAGAGAGCTCTACTGATGAGAGATAAAATAATCGTAAGAAAAGTAGAAAAGGTTTTGAGGCTAGAGAAGGTGCATATGCATCCGACAATAGCAGGGAAATTCTCTCTCTAGAGAAAGAGAGGCCTACGATATCACGACCATTAAGTTCCGAGGTGTCTCCACCGTTACAAATTTCAACATTAGCAAATACGACGTCAAGAGAATATGCTCAAGCACGACGCTGATCGTTGGTGATCTCGCAAGAAAAAAAAAAAAAAAAAAAATTGAAGAAGTAGAGATAATTTTTTTCAAGATGTAGGCTATTGTCTAGAGGCCCAATTTCATTGGCATTTTTTCTTATATGATAGTACTCAAAAGAGAAAAAGAAAAACAATTGTATCTTGCAAGTTGGGTATTTCTTTGCATCCACACCCAATTTGAGGGGGAGAGTATAGGAGATATGGAGATGAGATGAGTAGAGATGAAATTAACATCTCTAATGTAACCGCTAAAGAAAATCCAGATTCTGGCTCAGTCCAACTACAATGCAAAATAAAGTTATGGTCTTATTGATTCGAGAGTTCCAGTTGAAGATGATCGAATTTCTCGATCAAAGTCGATGATCAAGAGTTCGGTCTCCAGATGAGGAGATGAAGATGATCGAATTTATTCAAGTTTTCAGTTCCTTGATCTTGTTTGATGATGGAGTTTTCCGTTGCTCCATCCTGTGTGATAATCATCAAGTTTTTCGTTTCTCAATCTCGGATATTACTCGATCTCGAATGTTACTCGATCTCGGATGTTTCGACAAGAGAGAAAGAAAAATCATTTTCTTTTAGAGAGAGAAAGCCTCTGGAAAGAAAAGAAGCTTCTGAAGAGAGAGATCTTCAGAGAAGCCTCTCAAGAGAGATATCTTCACAAGCGGGCAACCATGGTGGAAGCCGCTCCTATTCAGTTCATTTCGACCCCCTCGGCTACATGATGAGAGAGAAAGTAGTGGGAGAAAGGCAGTCGGGTCGTGCATATTGCAGGTTTTAGGTGAAAGGGGTGGATGCTTGTATGCTTGCAGACGCAGTTGAGAGTTCATCACTGCCGTTTTAATAGTGTTGAGCTGATCGCTTGCATTTGCATAGTGAGAGAGAGGTTGAGAAAAAGAGAGGGGTTTGGGAAAACACGTGGAGAGAGAGTTGGGAAAATAAGGAGAGAGAGAGAGAAAAAGAGAAGTTTTGAGAGAATCACGTTAAGAGAGATGACGAGAGGACGGGGTTTATAAAAGATATGTTTTTGTTAAATTTGTTTGGGATAAAAAAAGGGGCTAGCTTTTTATGCTTTCTCTTATCATATACTTACTTATCCAACCTGCTAACATTGCCTCAATCACAATGTCACATCTCTACATTATTTTATTTTTCATTTTTTTATATAAATTATTTTGACACCAAATTTTAAACCCCGAATCCTCTATTAAACTTGCACAAGAAAAAATATAAAAAAATATTTCTAATAAAATAAAATGATCAAAATACTTCCGAAAGTTTCAAGGGGTATTTTGGTCATTATATTTTATCAAAAATTTATTTTTAATATTTTTTTTATAGGTGCACCCCAATGAGAAGATGGCACGTACCAAATTTCCACATTCATACAATTTGTATAAAAAAAACTAAAAATAAAATACTTTGAGATGTTGGATCTAAGATCAAATTGTGATTGACTCTCTTGATCAAAATTGGACGGCTGGATGGTAGGGAAAGTATAGATCTTCTATGCTCTAAGGGAAGTATAGAAACTCTTCCATTAAAAAATAGAGTCAATGTGATAAAAGTTGGTTTAGTGGTTAGAAGATATAATTCATGATATCTCTATGCTCCAAGATATGTTTGGAAACTTTGAGCCTATTGATAAATGAAATTTAAAAACATGGAGTATGAGATATTTTCCCTTAATTATATTACATACTTATAAATAAATTTTATTTTAAAAGATTAGAAAAATAAAAATAAAAAATATGTCACAAAAAACTTCAAAATATACTAATAATTATGTTCATAAGTTGAATTTATAAGCAAAATTTGTATCTCTCTACATAGAAAAATAGAGAAACATCTCATGGAGAGAAATATCTGAAAAATAGGAACCATTAATGATTAAAAAAGAGTAAGAGTGCATGAAAAGAGGCAGAAAAATAGAGAAATCAAATGATATTAATTTATAATTATATCAAAGAGAGGAGTCATACACTTATTATCAACATTGAAATAGATTATTGTCAAACATCTATCATAATGTGTCAATTTAATAATGGAAACCCATACAATAAGAAGACAACCATAAACATATCCAAATAAATAAATTTTTCTAATATTATTAAGTAGATATTAAGGAAAAATTAAAGATAGGACTGTATAGGGAGACTTTTTACTTTTGATACAAAGAGGTCACAATTACGTGCAACCATCCAATGATAGCTTGGGTGTGTCTCAAAGCTCGAGAAAATCTCTTTCGAAGGTTGAGCTTGGTCTAATAAATGCAGCCATCTAATTTCACATCTAATGGTTAAGATTAATTGTGACTACCTTGTACCAAAGATAAATAGTTTCACTATATACTTGTCCATGAAATATCAGAGAAACATATAAAATATTCTATAAAAAATAAAAATATACAAAATTGTATACTTTTCCATTAAATATTAGAGAAAGATATAAAATATTCTATAAAAAATAAAAATATATAAAACATATCTAATGTGACCTCCTTGGTTAGTGCCCCATGAAATGAGACTGAAAAATAAAATAAAAAATAACTTATGCTTTTTTTCAAAATTTTAAATTAAGCACATAAAAAAAATTTAAAGACTTTAAAAACAAAATATAAAAAATTCTTTAAGAAATGACTTCAAATATACAAAAGAAATTTACATAAGATAGAAAGCTACATTTTTATCATACATTCAACCACTCACTCAATAGGAAAACATTTTTAATTGAAATATGAAAGAAAATAATATAGTATAAAATGTGTAAATGAAAATAGTAAAAAAAAAAAAAACGCCTGTGACATCAAGATAAATCTATGTAGTGAAATGCCAAAATTTTAACAAATTATAGAAAAATTAACAAAAATTTAAAGTCAAATATCAAGTTGTGCTACTATTGAAACTATAAGCATGGTTCTTAACCAATAACTTCATATTTTATTGAATCACATAATTAGTCACAAAAAAAATGTCTACGCAATAAATATAATTCATTCCAACAATACACATTAAGAAAGAAGGAAAAAAGAAGGGAAAATTACTAAAAACACCCTAAATTGTACTTTCAAAACACTTTACCCCCACCCCAATTTTTTCTCACTTCTAAAAATCATCTTTTCTAACTAATACCCCCACAGCTAAAAAATATATATTTTGTTTGACAAAAATACCCCTTCCTGTACCTTGAACATACGACCAAATCCTTCTAACGGACCCCAATAAACCTTTCACCGGACTGAGTTTCTAAACTACCGCAGTGCTTATTAGACAACAATATGCCGGATCGAATATCTAAAACACCGGACTGAACCCACTCCAGTAGTAACATTACCGGAGTTATATTACAAATCACCAGTCTCTACATTAAACACCTTTCAGAGACATGACCCGACTGACCCGCCACGAACGTAATTGCCGGATTGAAGCTCCAAAACTCCGGACTATTTGACGTAGCCATATTCAACTATGCCGGACTACTTCAGTGTATTCGTCGGAGTGCCTGTGTTTCCAGGAAGCATATCGTCGGGGTGATGCGGTGAATCGCTGGACTGCAAAATTTTCAGGGAGGAAACTGCCAGTTCGATGTTCTTCACATGCTAGAGCGCTTTTCACAAGTGCAAGAGTTATTATTTTACAGTGAACTACCCGGCGGCACGAGTTCACTAAATGTCAGAGTGCATTCTAATGGTGTCGGAGTGCATTTTACAAGTGCCGGAGTGAATTCTAAAGATGCCGGAATGCATTTTACATGTGTCGGACTGCCTATTTAATAGTGCACTATTCTCCGGAGTGCATTCCATACGAGCTGGAGTGTAAAATTGGTAGGTTAAAAAGGGAAGGGCAAACTTATCTTTTTTTCAATTTTTTTGAGATTGGGGGGTTATTAGTTATAAAAGTTAAATTTTGAGAAATTTTAGTGAGAAAAAATTGAGATGGGGGTAAATTGTTTAGAAAGTACAATTTGAGGTATTTTTAATAATTTTCCCAAAAACAAATTCATACCAATACTAATAAATAAAACAAGAATAATGGAAGTTCAAGGCTAAGAAGAAAAGGCTAACCACTTCTTGCATACAAACATGTCTTGTATGAGTATTGCTTTTTTATCTAAAAGGACATGGAGGTGACAATAATCACATGAAAAGAAAGGAAATTATCGGCTAAAAAAACTCACCTATAAGAACTCTAGAGAGCTTTAAAGCCAAGGAAATAAATGGATTCAATATTTTTTCACTGCTAGCTTACATAAGCCACCATGTGTGTATGTGCGCATGGTTGTATGTGTGTGTTTGAGAGAGAGAGGATCATGTTGAGAGGGAGAAGAAGGGGGTTGGGGGAGATAAAGAGAGACTCAGGAAAACAAAAATACTTAAATAGAAAGATCCAGAGAAAAATAAAGATAAGTAAATAATTTACATGTAAATCATTTGAGGGATAATGGAGAAAGAGAAAGAGAGAGAGTAAATATAGGAAGTGAGGGAAATAAATGTGGCTATTTATAACTACATAGAGAGAGATGATTTTGCATGTATAGTCTAAAGAGAGAGAGAAAGAGATTTCCATGTTAAACCGTAAAGAGAGAGAGTAATTGTTTCACAAATAGAAGGGTGCATGAAAATATGGAAAAAAAATAGAGAAATCAAAAGATACTAATCTACAATTATATCAAATAAGGGAATCCTAAACATACTTATTAATATTTTTTAATATATATATTGTCAAACAATTATCATGTTTTGGGAAAGGGGGTTGTGTCTCACGTTGTAATTTCCATTCCTACCACTAATAGCACGCCACCAATACTTTCAAAAAGCTAACTCCCAATCCATATGAAAAAACGAGTGGGGGTTGTCTTTCCCATTAAATTATACAAAAAAAAAAATACACACACAGACACATACCAAATAAGAAGAAAACCATAAACAGATCTAAGTAAATAAATTTTTCTGATAATATAAATTAAATATCAGGAAAATATAAATTAAATATTAGATAAACATATAAAAAATTCTATAAAAAAAATACCTCTATTAAACATATCTAATGTGACCCCCCTATGTTAGTGCCCCATGAATGACATTGAAAATAACATATATTTTTTTTTCTTATCTAAAATACAATTATCTAAAAAAATAAAATTAATCACAAAAAAAAAATCTAAAAATAAAATATAAAAAAGTTCTTTAAAATTAAAAACAAAGAAAATTAATGATTTCAAATATATGAAACTTACATAAGATAGAAAACTACTTTTTTTTTTTCTTACGTTCAACTGCTCGTTAAATAAGAAAAAGTTTTAATTGAAATATGAAAAAATAATGTAGCATAATATGCGTAAATAAAAATTGAAAAAAAAAACAAAACTCATGTGACCTCAAGATAAATCTATGTAACAAAATATCAAAATTAAAAAAAATTACAGAAAAATGAACAAAAAATTAAAATAAAATATCAATACGTGCTACCATTGAAACTATAAGTGTAGTTCTTAACTAATACCTCCATATTTTATTGAATCATATAATTAACTACCAAAAAATTGTCTATGCAACAAAAAACAACTATTTCAACACTACAAACTAATAAAAAAAGAAAAATTCAAATTCATTCTAATACTAACAAATAAAGCAACAATAATGGACGTTCAAGAAAAGGCTAGTCTCTTTTTGGATAACATGACAACATTCACATAAAGAAAGAGGAAATTATCGACTAAAAATAATCACTCATTAGAATTCCAGAGATCCTTAAAGCCAAGAGAATAAATGGATTCAATATTTGTTCACGGGTAGCTTGCATATAGGGTTGCCAATGGTCCAGGACCGGGCTAGCTCGGCTCAAGGCCCCAAGAGGCCCGAATTGTTTCGGGCCGGCTCAAAAATAAAAAAGAAAGGGCCGGCCCTGCCCGAAAAGGTTGTGTATATATACTATGATACAACCATTGTATTGGATCACTGCTTTCTCTCTTTATCTCTCTCGCTCTTTCTCTCTCTCTCTCTCTCTCTCTCTCTCTCTCTCTCTCTCGTACGTACGTACGTACGTACGTACGTAGTACGTACGTACGACGTACGTCGACGTCGTACGTACGTACGTACGTACGTACGTACGTACGTCGTACGTACGTACGTACGTTACGTTACGTTTACGTTTTAACGTTTTTAACGTTTTTAACTTTTTAAACTTTTAAACTTTTAAACTTTAACTTTAACTTTAACTTAACTT